AAATAAATAAATAAAGCAGACAGAATGCCCAAATTTAGTGGATGGTGAGTTGTATCACCTAGGCCACTCAAAACTCCAAAAGAAAATATTTACCCCACCACTCCAAAAAAAAAAAAAGAAAGAAAAAAAGAAAGTTCTTCTTTTCTATAAAGAACCTACATTTTAAACTTTCTAACTAAAGTCATAAAAACAAAATACAGCAGGTATGACAGACTACGGACTTTTGACCTTAACTTGAGAAAATCCAGACTGCATTTTTCATTGCTACCTACTAACCAAATACAAATTTTTTACAATACGTTTTTTAGTTGGAATAATTCTAAATTTATTAAAACTTGCAAAGACACCACAAAGAACGCCTGTATATCCCTCACTCAGTTCAGTTTTCCCTAATGTTACATCTTATAGTAATGCACTGTCAAAATTAAGAAACCAACCTTGGTACATCACTGACTAAACTCCAGACTTAACTGATATTTTGCCAGTTTTTCAAACATGTCCATTCTCTGTTTCACGGCCTCATCTAGGATACTACTTCGCATTCAGCTGCTATGTCTCCACAGAGTTCTGTTGGTGGGGTGGACAAGTTTCCTTATTTTTCATGACTCTGACCATCTTGAAGAGTACTAGTTAAGATACGTAAAATGGGGCAGTAATTTCAACAACAAATTTATGCTAAAGCAAAAACCTAGAGATTGGACAAAGCAGTAACATATGGTAACAACAAAAATTAACCTCTTCAGATACACCCTAAAGTATTATAAAGATGGCCAACCTTCTTAAAATTGATTTACCTATTTGAAAGGCAGAGTTACAGAAAGAGAAAAGGCAGAGATATCTTGAATCTACTGTTCTCTCCCCAGATGGCCTCAACACCCAGGGCTGAGCCACATGGAAGCCAGGAACTTAATCTGGGTCTCCCACAGGATGGCAAGGGCCCAACCACTTGGGCCACCTTCCACCAACTTCCTAGGCCATTAGCAGGGAGCCGGATCAGAAGTGAAGCACCCAGGACACAAACCAGCACCCATATGAAATAGTGGCATCACTAGAGGCAGCTTAACCTGCTCCCCCACAACGCCAGACCTCACTACCAAACATTAAAAGGAGAATTAACACCAATCCTCAATTCTTCCAAAAATTAAGGTGTAGAGATACATAATTTATTACTCATTCCATGAAGCCAGCATTACCCTACCAGCAAAACCAAATGAAGCCATTACAAGAAAGGAATTATCAGGGCTGGTGTTACAGCACGACCTCTGCTTCCAACACAGACATTCAAGGTCGGAGCCCCAGTTCAAGCCCTGACTGCTTTGCTTTCCATCTGCTCAAGTGCCTGGGAAGGCAGCAGAAGATGGTCCTACTCTTTATATTTAGGCCCACGCCACCCCTGCAGAGGACCAGGATGGCATTCCTGGCTCCTAGGTTTAGTCTGGCCCATACTGGGCTATTGCTGTTATTTGGGAAATGAACCAGTGATGAACAGAGACCAATTGATCTCTCTCTTTGCCTTTTAAATAAAGAAAGAAATGCTCTTTATTAATGGAGTTGCAAAAATTCTCAAGAAAATACCAGCAAATTGCCAGCAGTATATTAAGATCATATATCATGGGCTGGCACTGTGGCATAGTGGGTAAAGCCACCCGGCCTGTGGTACTAGCATTCCATTTAGGCGCCAATTCCACTCCCGGCTGCTCTACTTCCAATCCAGCTCCACTGGGAACGCAGTGGAAGATGACCCAAGTGTCTGGGTCCCCGGCACCCACATGAGAAATTCAGAAGCTGCTCCTGGCTTAAGCCTGGCTCATCCCTGGCCATTGGAGCCATTTGGGGAATGAACCAGCAGATGGAACATCTTGCTTTCCAATTCTGCCTTTCAAGGAAATAAATAAAATAAAAATTAAAAAATAAAGTATAGATTATGATGACCAAGTGGGATGCAAAGGTGGTTCAATATTTGAAAAAGAATCAACATAATACACAATAGAATGAAGAAAAGTCACATGATCTGACAGAGGAAAAAAATGGACAAAATCTAGCATCCTTTTCTCATTAAAAAAAAAAACACCTCAGGGACCAGCATAATGGCATATGTAGTAGGTTAAGCCTCCGCCTGTGTCACTGGCATCCCATATGAGCATGGTAGAAGTCCCAACTGCTCCACTTTGATCCAGCTCCCTACTAATGCAGCTGGGAAAGCAGCCGAAGATGGTCCCAAGTTCTTGGGCCCCTTCATCCATGTGGGAGATCCAGAAGTAGCTCCCAGCTTTGGCCGGCCCAATGCTGGCTATTGGAGCCATGTGAGGAGTGAACCAGTCAATGGAAGCTATCTCTCCCTCTAATTCTGCCTTTCAAATAAATTGTTAAAATGTCTTAAAAACACACACACACACACACAATAAAGTAGGTACAGAAGAGAACTCCTACTACAGAATAACAGGCATGTAGGCCGGCGCCGCGGCTCAATAGGCTAATCCTCCGCCTTGCGGTGCTGGCACACCGGGTTCTAGTCCCGGTCAGGGCGCCGGATTCTGTCCTGGTTGCCCCTCTTCCAGGCCAGCTCTCTGCTGTGGCCAGGGAGTGCAGTGGAGGATGGCCCAAGTGCTTGGGCCCTGCACCCCATGGGAGACCAGGAGAAGCACCTGGCTCCTGCCATCGGATCAGCGCAGTGCGGCGGCCATTGGAGGGTGAACCAACAGCAAAGGAAGACCTTTCTCTCTGTCTCTCTCTCTCACTATCCACTCTGCCTGTCAAAAAAAAAAAAAAAAAAAGAATAACAGGCATGTAGAAAATTCCACAAGTAACATTATACTCGATGAAAAGACCCCATCCAAAATCAGAAGCAAGACAAGTATGCCTACTTCTCCCACTTCTATTGAACACTGTACTAGAACACTTCACCAGAGCAATTAGATAAGAAAAATAGGCCGGCGCCGTGGCTCACTAGGCTAATCCTCCGCCTTGCGGCGCCAGCATACCGGGTTCTAGTCCCAGTCGGGGCGCCGGATTCTGTCCCGGTTGCCCCTCTTCCAGGCCAGCCCTCTGCTGTGGCCAGGGAGTGCAGTGGAGGATGGCCCAAGTCCTTGGGCCCTGCACCCCATGGGAGACCAGGAGAAGCACCTGGCTCCTGCCATCGGATCAGCGCGGTGCGCCGGCCGCAGCGCACTGGCCGCGGCGGCCATTGGAGGGTGAACCAACGGCAAAGGAAGACCTTTCTCTCTGTCTCTCTCTCTCACTGTCCACTCTGCCTGTCAAAAAATAAAATAAAAAATAAATAAAAAGAAAAATAAAGAAAAGGTATCCAAGCTGGAAAGAAATAAAATTAGTTTTATTTGCAGATGACTTAAATCTTTATATAGAAAATCTCTATATACAAGGAATCACGTAAAAACTATCATAGCTAATAAAATTAATTCAGCAAAATTGCAGGTTACAATAGCATAAAAAATCAATCATATGGCCATATACTAACAATGACCAATCTAAAAGTAAACTAAAAAAAATAATTTCATTTGCAACGGCACCAAGAAGAATAAAATATTCTAATAAATTTAACCAAAAGGTACAAGACTTGTCACTGAACACTACAAAATATTGCTAAAGACAAGCTAAATATATACAAAGACATCATGTGTTTATGGATTAAAGGATTTAAAAGGGCAATACCCTCCAACGTGGTCTGCAAATTCACACCAATTCTGAAATTCGAATTCCAAAGAACGCCAAAATGACCACAACTATCTGGAAAAGGAACAAAGTTGGGGGACACTGGTACACCATTTGTGGCGGCTCAAAAAACTGCTGTGTTTTATTTAAGAATTACCATTTTGTTAAGTTAAACAAAGAATTAAACCAGGGCTGATCCCAGTGGGTTAAGCTGCTGTCTGTGAAGCCAGCATCCCATATGGGTGCTGAGTCCCAGTTGCTCCACTTCTAATCCAGCTCCCTGTCAATGCCTCGGAAAATCAGAATTTGGCCCAAGTGCTTGGACCCTGACACTCACATGAGAGACCCTAGAGGAAGCTCCTGGCTCCTCTCATCAGCCTGGCTCAGCCCCTGGCAGTGCAGCCTTCTGTCCAACAGATGGAAGATCTTTCTCAAACTCTGCCTTTCAAATAAATAAATAAATGTTAAAAAAAAATCATATGACCCAACAACTCTACTATAATGTATATACCCTAAAGAATTAAAAAGTCATTTAGACAAATATTTGCAAACAAATGTTTATAGCAGCATTATTCACAAGAGCCAAAAGGCAGAAATAATCCAAATGTTTATCATCAGATGAATGGGCAATCAAAAGCCAGTGTATTCATACAATGGAATATCTAGCCACGGAAATAAAATACTGATAATGATACATGCTACAGATGTGGGTGAACCTTGAAAACAATGCTAAGTGGAAATAAGTACCTTAAAGGCCATACATTATATGGTTCTAGTAATAAGAAATATCAAGAACAAATAAACCCGAATACAAGGATCAACGCTGTAGTGCAGGGAGTAAAGCTGCAGTCTGCAACACCAGCATCCCATATGGGCACCAGTTCGAGTCCCAGCTGCAGAAGATAGTCCTAATACCTAATACCTGGGCCCCTGCCACCCACGTGGGAGACCTGGATGGAGTTCCTGGCTTTTGGCTTCGGCCTGACCTAGTCCCGGCTGTTGCAGCCATTTGGGGAATAAACCAGTGGATGGAAGCTCACTCACTCACTCTCTCACTCGCTGTCTTTCCCTCTCTGTAACTCTGCCTTTCAAATAAAATAAATCAATCTTAAAAAAAAAAGAAAAGAAAACAGAGTTAACTGGTGGTTGAAGGGAAACGGGAAATGACTGCTAAAAGGGTATAAAACTTCCTTTGGAGGTGAAGAAAATTTAGTGAAACTAGAAAGAGGTCATGTCACCTCTGTGAATCTACTGAACAGTTTAAAATGGCTTGTCAATCATATTGCTGTATAAATGTACAGTTAAAATTTTTCTTACATTTTATTTCAAAGACAAAGAAACAGAGAGAGATCTTCCATCTGCTCCAAATGCCTGCAACAGCCAGGAGCAGGCCAGGACAAAGCCAGCATCCCAGAACTCAATCCAAGCCATCTATCCGGGTGGCAAGGACACAAACATCTGAGCCACCATTAGCTGCCTCCCATACTGTGCATCAGCAGGAAGCTGGATCAGAAGCAGAGAAACCAGGACTAGAACCAGGTACTCCGACATGGGTTGCAGACATCCCAAGCAGCAACTTAACTGCTGTGCCAAAGGCTTGCCCCTATACTTTTTTTAAATGGGGGGAAAAACTGGTCCAGGAGGGAATGTCTCTTGCATAATTTAAGCAATAATCCAGGAAAGCACAGGAAGCACAATTTAAAGAAAACACTACCTCTGACAAAGGTCAGTTAGTTAATTTAAAGGCATCCAAAACTCAACTTTCAAAACTCAACTTAGAAACACATTTATAGCTCTGGTATCACTTTCAGAACTTCACACATTAATCTATGACTCAAGATAACTATAACTAACTTTGGGAAACAATCACTTGCACAAGGAAAACACAAACTTACAAAAAACTAAAATGAGAATATGAATGCTAGTTCATGTTACTGTCAATCAAAGACTGCATTAATACAAAATTTTGGTATGTATAAGACAATGATGTAGCCGGTGCCGCGGCTCACTAGGCTAATCCTCTGCCTTGCGGCACCGGCACACAGGGTTCTAGTCCCGGTCGGGGCGCCGGATTTTTTTTTTTTTTTTTTTTTGACAGGCAGAGTGGACAGTAGGAGAGAGAGAGACAGAGAAAAAGGTCTTCTTTTGCGGTTGGTTCACCCTCCAATGGCCGCCGCGGCTGATCCGATGGCAGGAGCCAGGTACTTCTCCTGGTCTCCCATGGGGTGCAGGGCCCAAGCACCTGGGCCATCCTCCACTGCACTCCCTGGCCACAGCAGAGAGCTGGCCTGGAAGAGGGGCAACCAGGACAGAATCCGGCGCCCTGACCGGGACTAGAACCCGGTGTGCCAGCGCCACAAGGTGGAGGATTAGCCTAGTGAGCCGCGGCGCCGGCTGGGTCGCCGGATTCTGTCCCGGTTGTTCCTCTTCCAGTCCAGCTCTCTGCTGTGGCCTGGGAGTGCAGTGGAGGATGGCCCAAGTCCTTGGGCCCTGCACCCTATGGGAGACCAGGAGAAATACCTGGCTCCTGCCATCGGAGGGTGAACCAATGGCAAGGGAAGACCTTTCTCTCTGTCTCTCTCTCACTGTCCACTCTGCCTGTCAAAAAATAAAAAAAAATTTAAAAAAAAGACAACGATGTAGTATTCAATTCACCATGTTTTAAAGTGAGTTCTTTAAGTGGTATGCAGAAACTATGACCTATCCATTAGTGACATAACAGTTACCAATGAGTGAATATCTAGTAAGGAACAAAAACTGAATTAAGTAATTTTACTTAAATTATTTTGAATTTTAACAACCATTCTGCCATTTTTCACAGACCAGGAATGGGCTCAGAGAGACCTTCAAGATCAAAATCAAAAACTTGCTACTTGGTAGCAACTTAAAGACTCCAATACTAACTCTGCTGAGGTATTTGTGAGACCTTGGTTATTAAACTTCTCCAAATTGAGATCTCAATTTCCTAGTCTGAAAAATGGAAATGGCTGTTGTGAGACGAAATAATACTGTCCACACAATGGAATACTATAAAGCCTCAAAAGTGTATGTGTGTGTGTGCACGCACAAGCGCGCATTTCCTTCCAAAGACTGCCACCCAAAGTATGGGAAATATACCTACTGTAACTTATTTTCAAACGATTCCACAAAATAAGCAAATAAGTATTAAGTAGAGAAAATATGGTAAAATATTAACAATTGTTGAATATCAATAAACAACTGTTCATTTTATTTTCCTTTCAACTTTTTTATAGGCTCAAAAGTTTCCACAATAAAATGTTGGAAACAACTGAAAAGCATTTCCCTTCTTAACATGGACCAACAGTAAAATATTATCAAGCAAGAAAATGGCAGGACCTGAGTATAGTATGCTACGTTTTGTGAATAAAAACATGTATATGTGTACGTGTATTGCACTAGAATAAAACATTTCTGGAGTAAGATACAAGAAACAGGAATATTTCTGTAGGACGAAGTTCGGAGTTTTTTTCACTGTACTGTACTTTAACCTCTTCTTTTTTTAAACAATTTTCCACTATTTTTGACTTTTCAATTAAATCACACAGTATGTGCTCTTCTTTGCTTATATACTATACTGGAGGGCCTATTTATACAGGTCCTCTTAAAAGGTTTCAATCCTAAAACAGCTGTGAGCACGACTTAAAAAAAAAAAGGAAAAAAGTCCCCGGGAGTGCAGTGGAGGATAGCCCAAGTCCTTGGGCCCTGCACCCGCATGGCAGACCAGGAGAAGCACCTGGCTCCTGGCTTCGGATCAGTGCGGTGCGCCAGCCGCGGCGGCCATTGGAGGGTGAACCAATGGCAAAGGAAGACCTTTCTCTCTCTCTCTCTCTCTCTCACTGTCCACTCTGCCTGTCAAAAAAAAAAAAAAAAAAAAAAAAAAGTCCAAATTTAGAGCTCCAAGTGAAAATCTGATAATTACTATGACATCTAAGATCGTGTATAACTTCCTATTCCTATCCAAGACTAGCTCCTTTACAAAAACACAGTAAAACTGGTAATAAACCAACTCCAATCACTTAAAATTACCATGTATCAGACTCCTCCCCTACTAAATCCAGCAACTGTACAACCATCAGGCACTGCTTAGAAACTATCCAAAGGGGCAGGCACTGAGGCACAGTGGGCAAAGCCGCCGCCCGCACTGCCAGCATCCCAGGTGGGCACCGACTGAGTCCCGGCTGCTCCACTATGCTATGGCCTAGGAAAGCAGAAGATAGCCCAACTCCTTCGGCTCCTGCACCTCCATGGGAGATCCAGAAGCTCCTGGCTTCGGACTCGTGGATGTGGCCATATAGGGAGTGAACCAGGGGATAGAAGATGTGTATCTCTCTCCCTGCCTCTGCCTCTTTGAAACTTTCAAATAAATAAAGCTTCAAACAAAATGTAAAATATCCGAGATGCTGCATGCAGAATTATTTTCCTACATTCTCAATTAGCTCCTTAGCATCCAAAAATAAATCACCGTTTGAAAATGGGTAACAACTGCTGTACACAAAGACCAAGTTTTGAGGCTTCAAGCAGAAAAAATACTAAATCGATTCCTACTTGAAGTCTAAATATACACGCTTACATAAACCTTAAAGGTGAACTCCAGTGAGCTGGAAATAAATTCAAGAGAACACTACCGACAAACCTCTCACTGTCCATTACCACTAGCGCGCTTAGAACAGGAAGTTGCTGCTAACAGGAATAAAACATGTAGATTAATTAAAAGGCTTCACCAAAGAGACAAGACTCGGGAAAGGCTGAGACCAACAAGATGCGGACAAGGACGAGTCATGTGCGACTCCAAAGTACTAGCGACACTGCAAACGACTTCAACCAATGTGAAAACAGCACTGTCACCGCATAGGAGGAAACGCGAGGGAAAGCGACCAGGAAGAGAAGTCGGAGTTAAGCAAACGCCTCGGACGCCCCAGTAGAAAACAGCCCGGAAACAAGCTCCCAGGAAGCTCTCTGCAGGCACGCCGATGCCCGGCTCCACCCGCGGGACCTGCACACCTCTCTCCACCCCTCCCGTCCACCAGGGAGGTGGGAGCAGTGCGGGAGAGCTCCGCCCCACTCGCCCGGTCCAAGAGCCGGGAGGGTGCAGGGGGAGGTGGCGCGAGGCCGAGGGAGGGGAGAGCCCGCCCAGGTGACTGGGGCTGGAGGCGGAGACACAGCCAGGCAAGGGGGCCGCCGTACGGCAGGAAGATGGAGCCCCCCAGCCCGTACGGAACCGAGACTGGGGAGGGACAGGGAGGAAAAAGGTGGCAAGGGAAATGGGTAGAGACGAGCACACCACTGCCCCTCACTCCGGGCGGAAGAGTTACTCTCGGGAGGCTTCTTTTGGGGACTGCAGGAAGAGCATGGAGGCCTCGCCCCGAGGCCAGGACTCAGGAGGAAAAGTCCTGCAGGCCCCAGGCCCAGCCTCTCCGGCGGCCCGGCCCGCCCCCTCCCCGCCGGTGGCCCAAGCAGGTGCTGCCCCTCCCCCAGCCCGGCGCCCACTCTCCCGCCCGCCCGGCCTCGCTCCCTGGCTGCTCTCACACCTCCCGGACACCCAGCCTCCCCCTGTCCCCACTCACCTTTCCAGGCGGCTCCGCCGCTTCCCCCCTGACCCCGCCAGAGGCCACAGTTCACACACACCGCCTCAGGTCCCGCACTCACTCGCCCTCACTCACACACAGCGCGACCACGGCTCCAGAGCGGCCCACATATTATGCGTCACTCCCGTGCTACGTGCCCCGCGCGCGGGCGCGCGCGCGCCTGCTTGGCGCGAGGATCGCAGGCAAGGGGCGGGAGAACGCCCGCGCGAGCGGAGGGGACGGGAAAAAAAAAAATCGGAAAGCCCCGAAGATGCCTGGGAAATGAAGTCCCGCGTCCAGGGGCGCGGCCCGCCAGCACCGATCCGCGGACGAGCGCTTCGCCCAGCGCATTGACTGCCGGGATTTGTAGTTTTAAGATTTAATGCGAATAGCTCTGTGCGCCTTGGCCGGTGTGTACTCGGTTCTGCCTTGTGTGTCATTTGAGAACCAGTGTCTTAATTCTCTCTCCTGTCCCAGCGTACCCAGTACACACCAGACTCGGAGCACATGCTTCTAAAGCGCACTGGGAGTCACAGCATCCATTAAACAATAGAAGCTGGTTTTCGCTTTCCATACCTAGCCTGTAGGAATCAGTGAATTATTTATCGTCAGATACGACATGTGAGGCAGAAATGGAGACACCAAAGCCCGTAGACGAGGGCAGAACTGGCCTCGGAATTCATTGAATTCCGTTCATTTTACAGCTGGGAAAAACGAGGCCCAGAGAGAGTGCCTAAGGCCGATTAGTTAAATCCAAAGGCTCTGACAAGAATTGCGGGGGCCATGAAAGATCGCTGCGACTCCACCTGACGAGATCCTGCCCGGTCTTCAAGGCCTGGTGCGGCTGATTCTCCCCTGGGAGTCCTGAAGAAGTTTCTGGTATCTCCCTGATGCCCTCCCAGGGAGGACACAAGACACAGCAAGCTGCGGCCGTGCCAGCGCCCGCACGGGGGACACAGGCTGAATGCTGGCTCCTGGATCCCGTTCCCTATCGGATTCCAGCAGGGACATCGCCCTCCTTCCGGACAACAGCCCTTTGCCCGAACTTTGCCTGTATCGGTAATGACACCTACCACTTACTCTGACTCTACAGCAAGCTTGGTTCTGAGCCAGATGTTTGAGCTCCACTCGCCCGTTAATCCTCACTGCCACCTCACGCAGGAGGCACGGGTTAACCACCCTCATGGGAGAAACCTGAAGCCGAGGAGGTGAATCAGCGAATGCCGAGCTTCGTGGGCTCATACCCGGCCTCTGCCTTTCCTCCAGGGTCAGAAACCGAAACGCATGGGGTTGGCGTGTCTGAGCCTTAGCTGCCTTCCCTTTGTCCGCGTTCTCGGCCCCGCCCCCACTTCCTCACTGGCTGTCCTGAAAGGCAGCGCTCTTGTGGGAACCCGAGGCCTGGCGCCTCTGTTCCTGACACTGCCTCGGTCTTGCCACCAGATGGCACTGCTCTCCTTTGGAAACCTCACCTGGGGCCCTGGGTTGGCGGTAGGTGTGAGGACCCTCAAGGAGAGGCTTGGGAGCAGCTAGGGCCCCCGGGAGGCTAGAGAAGCGAAGCAGGACGCACACAAGGCTGTCTGGCCGCTGCTGCGTGTGATTCCTGGAGCTTCCTCTACCTACGCCAATACCCTCCGCACAGCCACACCTGCAGGTACTCCCAGACCCCACCCCCTCTGTGACAAAGACAGCACCCAGGCCTTCCCAAGTGCACACACACTGCAGCTGTGCTCAGTGCATGTTTCACAGGAGAGGTGCTACGCACACGTGCCCCATAACACAAGCACTCACACCTGTGCCTCAAAGCCGATACTTTCACGTGTAAGCATTTGCAAGCACAACACCACAGGCCAGCACAGCAGGCTTAGTTCTGGCACATTAGTCCTCAGTCACTGGAAAGAGACTTCTTGGCCTCTTTGGTGGGATACGCCTGCATTCTGTCCCATCCTGCTTCGCCTCCCACTCTGATGCTGTGGTTGAAAAAGAGGAATGCCCACCTCAGAGTGGGAAGGCTCGGACAGGAATGCTCCACCTACTCCTTCCCCAGCGGTCCCCGTCTCTGGGGCAGGAAAACCAACAGCACCAAGTCCTCTGGGCCTCAGGCTGCTGCACCACAACACGGGCCCCTGACAACCTTCTCTCCTGATCACCTCCTTCTGGGCTCCCTTGACCTGGGTGCTCTCCCCCTGGTGCCACCCCACAATCCTGTGCCTCCTCCTCCAACTGCTGGGATCTGGGAGGGAAGGGCTGAGAGTCCCACACCCACTCCTCTCCCCCTTCTGCTGGGCAGAGCTGCTACTGCAAATGCCCAGCAGCGCCGCAGAGCTACCAGGCTAGACAGAGAAAATGCCAGTCACCCGACCAGGGCCCTGCCTCTGCCTTCCTCACAAAATGAGTAAAGGGTGGGGAACGTTACCCCATGCCCCCAAGAAGTGTGCACAGTGACCACCCTTGTTGCGTCACTCTTGTATTACAGAGGGAGACACAGACTCCATGAAGACAACAGCTGGAGCTCTTGGGTTGCCCAGTGGCTGCAGGAGGTGCCATCTCCAGAAGTCTATCCCCAACTCCTGTCCCCATGGGGACAACTTCATTGAAGGGCCATAGGCCCAGGTGGGACAGGAAACTTCAACCCCTGGCTCCCGTGTACCCAGCCAGAGACAGCAGCAGACCCACACAGTATTTCAAATAATTAACATGCAGTAGGAAGTTAGAAATGAGCCTGTGTGTGTAAGAGGCACGTAAGGAGGACAAGCTTCTGTGAAAGGAAAGCCTCAAAGACACGCCCTGGAAGCAGCCCGGAAGTTAATACCGTCCTGCTCA